ATGTACAGAAAATCACTACTGTTGAAAAATAGCTGTTTGAGAATTTCAGCTCCTGAACCAGGAAGTGAGGTAATAACAACATCAGGAAGATCAATGTGGTGCCCTTCTGAAGACAAAGCCTTCTTGGTTGTCTTGGCTTCTGTCCTCCTCCATTTTGCACAGATGGGCTGAGTGCAAGTGCTCCATACATCCAGAAGCTCAATAAACCACAAAGCAATTACAAGTATTAGTATCCATCGCATTAACTTTCTAAAAGAAAGGTAAAAACGCCATTGGAAAGTTAAAATCACCAAGCTAATGCACAAAATTAATCCAACTGCTATATTAAATTTAAATCCAAATGGGAAGATGACTCTATCATGTCTTACAGGCTTTACTATTGCTTGAGTGCCCAAACCAAATCGAGTTATTTGGTCTTGATCAGCCACATTGGCAAAGCCACCAAATCCCAGGTAACTGAATCTTGTCTTCAGGTTATGGTAATCAGTTACAATGGAAACAACATGTTCAGTATTATTGACATTGAGAGATATCTGAAGGCCAGAATTGGAATTATCAATGAATCTGCAGCTGGAAACATTGACATACGGCCCATAAAAGACATATGCAATCCTCATAATTGTGGATTCCATGTGAAAAGTAACATTAACAAATTGAGTCCACCGTTTCTTAAATTCAGCAGCTTGTTCTGCTTCCTGTATACTAGCCATGGGACTACTGCCACGATGATCAAACCAAAACATTTTGTAGTGTGCATCCCACACATCCATCATGGCACCATTATACCTATTCATAAACCTATATGGGATATATTTAAAGTCAATGTCCAGATTATGAAAGAAGGCACTGACAGAATTTATTGGGGAATCTTCTTGTCTCTCAATGTGATCAACAACTAGCAGAGTTTGAGAATTTAAGAGAAGCAAAGCACGATATACACTTTTTAGTTTCATTGCTGAAGAATAAGCAGACACTGCTTCCCCACTCACAAATATCATTTCCCCATGTTGTGAGGCAGTGATAATTTCCCCAGCTGCATCCCCAACTTCCTCACCAGTCCACTTGAGCCACTGTGCACATTCTCCCAGTTGACCTTCCCAGGGCTTATTACATTGGCTTGAGGGTGACGGAGCAAACACCAATACATTATTAAGGTGGCTCAACTTGGGTCCATAGAGAGCTTCAGAAACAAATACCTGTCCATTGGGGGCAAAAGTAAAAGAGTTCTGATCTGGATGTTCATGTCCTGGGTTAAAGCTTCTCCATCCATCAATCCAGGAGTATGGCTGAAAGTGAACTATGTCATACACAGCTCGTCCACCTAGTTTACCAGATTTAAAAGACACAAAAGTATTGGTCTGTGTGTTCGGCAACCCAGCCCCATAAGTGACAACACCCCAGTTAGGAAATGTGTGCATTTTTGCAGTGCCATATTCAGCAGGAGGCTGTGGGATGAGCTGGGGATCATACCAGATATATTCAGTGTGAAGAGTACTCCATCTCTGAGCAGTTGAAGGAACCATTGGTCCATCTTTAGGTCGGTGCTTTCTAATTTGCTGAGCTAACCAATTTCCAGCTCCATTCTTTAAGACAAACTTATCCAAGAAAACTAGCTGGCTTTCTGGACCATAAAACCAATTATAATTGGAATCTGCTATACCCACAGTTCTTTGAAAGCCTGGTAAAAGGGTGGCATAATAGAACCAAAAGTGCATTTTTAACCAGTTATTCTCCAAGTTGTTGATGTTAAAATGGCGTTGAGCTAGAAAAACATACTGTGTGACTGATTTAGCTGTGTAGCTTCCATAGGCCACGCCTTCATCCAAAGAACCATCAACAATATGATTCAATAGAAACATTGTCTTTTCCATCACATCCACTACAACTTGTTTCCATATATTTGCTTTAGATTCTTTATCTACCCCTGTCACCAAGGCCCCTGTGAGTAATGCTATCATATTAGTAGCTTGGTGGTTATGGAGAAGCTGTTTACCCCATGAGCGGACCTTGGAATACTCATACATTTCCTCAGTAATAACCCATATTTTTTCCAGGTATTTTTGTCTTCTATTATTATCCAACAAGTTATACAAAAAGTCAAAGGCAGTTGCAAAACCTGTTAAGGAATGGCCAATTGGAACCTCATCCCCTGGTGCATTCTCAACTAGCCAGTCTTTGTAGCCAACCATCCTGTCCATATATTCCAAGACAAATTCAAAGGCAACTTTGTCTTCTGGGCATAACAAACAGTACAATGCTAATGGAGGCAGATTGTTACCATAAATTTCATTCCACTTGGCAGCAAAATCAGAATGCTTGGGTGGAGGTAGGTAGTATGTCGGGTTGGACAGCATAACTGTCACTGCACTTCTGATAGCTCTAAAAAGATGCAAATGGCTTGTGCGAGACTGTTGTCTCATTGCTTGGATTTCTCTAGCATCAAAATATAAACTTGGATGAAGCATACTTTTCTTCAGCTTTTGGTTGGGTCTGAAATCTTGTACTTTCTGCGTTTTAAACTGATCTATATCATCTGTGAAAACTGCCCATTCAGAGTAATTGTTCACAGATTCCTCAAAAGTAGAAAAACCAAACATCAATAATGCTAAGAATAGGAAATGTCCTGTAAACATTAACGCCATGATCCATGGGGGAGTTCCTTTCCTTAGGCATACATGTCAAACAGAGTATTCAACGTGTTCCCCATTTGGTAATTATAAAACACACATTAAAGGCCTTGATAAAACAAAGACTGCAAATCTTATATGCTGTGAAATCCTGCTGATGTCCGGCTCATTCTAATCAAGTGCAGTTGCCAAGGAGAGAAAACTTACACTGTGTATCTGTGTCCCTGGCACAGCTTTGCTTCCAATAAAACTTCAGGGAATTTTAAAGTCTCTAATTTCTCCATACTGATTCTCCCGGGAACAGTAGTACAGCTAAAAAATACTGTAGATTCAGCATTTACTTCCTTTAAATAAATCTATTTAACATGAAGAGTCGAAACATGAATTGTAAAAAAGAGAAAAAGCACTCCAAAATTCAAATTAAGAGTCATTCCTAGCATAAAAAAACATCACTGGTAATAAACTCACCACAGATGTATGATGCATTTATGTGTGTTTGCCAGAAGATGCTGATAAAATACTGACATTCTTGGAGTGAGTGGACTCAGTTGTACTATTTGCTTTTTACACTTCTTGCTTTCTGAATTTTTTCTTCTTCCATTTTTGGGAGAAAAACATCCTTAACAAGTGTTCAAAGTCCTACTTGGTTTAAAAAAAATAAAAATTCCTGCCTTCATTTCAAATCTGTCTTTCTCAGGCTTACTCATCAGCCTATTGTGACACAAGAAAGCATTGTCATATCTTCTTTTATCAGCTTCATCTGTACAACTATAAAAATTTAATCTCTTCGGCCACCTAGATACTTCTCTTCCAACCATGAAGTAACCACCAACAGGGAAAGAAAACTCCCCTTTCACCAACAGTGATATCTCTTTTCTGTTCCTTTTTCATGACACTCCTTTCTGGGGGAAAAACAGAACAAAGAAATTCTCTGAGGCTACAGGTATGCTGGGAGTGTGTATATATCAATGATTGAAATATTCTGCATCTCTTGATAGAAATTTTAGAATCACAATAAAATCTTACATTATATGAAACCTGATTAGCTCAAGTGATTTTGTTTTCTAATACTTTCAAACACATACATCTGGATCTCAGTGAATGTTAGCAGTAACAAGCAACTACAAGATATAACTCTCCCGACAGTATTTATATTTTAACGGTGGCTTGTGTTAGTCACTTAACAATGTTTTTATTCAAATGCAGTTTACACAAAGATGAGTCTTGTATCTTTCTTGTTATTTCTTGTTACAAAGGACTCAGGGACAAAAAGCTGAAAGGACTTTTCTTTTCACTCCGCTTGAAGGGTTGGCTTTCATAGGATCAGAAGGTATCTTCGTAATGAGAACTACTAAGATGAGTCACTTTTCTCACAGGAGAAATCATGACAATGCGTCCGGGCAGAGGAACAGCAGTTCCACTCCAGGCTCACCTGTAACCTCCTTTAAACGTCCTTAGGAGAAGCCACCAGAGGGAGCTCAGACCCAGATTTAAGGAGCAGCCTCTCCTTGCCCGTCTACGGTTTTGAAGAACCTAACCAAGTTTCAGTCTTGGACAAGTCTCCCCTCTGTAGGAAACATTAACGCTAGGAGTTTCCTGATCCGCCCCGCCTGTTGCATTTTTTTAATTCGTGTCCTACGAACATGCCTCCACCATCCTCCGCTCCCCACTCCCCGGCCTGCAGCCGTGGTTTGGGGGCGAGAGACCCCTAAATGGCCAAGTCCGCTTACCTGAGGCAGATCCCGACGGGGTCTCCGGGCTGCGCTGGGCCCCAAGAGAGGCGGATGTGGAGAGTTCGAGAAAACTGCTCTGCACAGGAACCAGCCCCTGCGGTCCCCGCAGGGATCCCCGCGACCCCGGCGGCGCCCCCCGCGCCCCGACAGGCGGCGCCCCCCCTCCGCTCCGTCTCCTCAGCCGCGCGGACCCGCGCCCCGCACCGCCCAGACACACCCGCCCCCAGGAACGCCGGACGCTCGCGGGGGCACTCCCGGACCGCCGGAGGCAGACCCGCGGGCAGCGGGCGCTCTCGGGGCCGCCGTGTCCAGCGGAGCGCCCGCGTCCCCAGGCCGCGATGGAGCCGCAGCCGCCGCTCCTCTGTGCCAGCTCTGCGGCCCGGGGAGGGCGAGAGACCGCGACGCGGGCCGGCGGGCGGGGGGCGGAGCGGGAACGGGGCGGGGCGGGGAGGTGGGCGGGGCCTCCAGGAGGGCCAGAGCCGGCGACGCGGGACGGCGGGTGAGGGGCGGGGCCAGGGGCGGGGCCTTAGGGAGGAAGAGCGCGGGCGACGCGGGACGGCGGGTGAGGGGCGGGGCCAGGGGCGGGGCCTTAGGGAGGAAGAGCGCGGGCGACGCGGGCAGGGCAGAGCGCCCCCGGGAGACCTGAGGGAAGAGACTGGGGCGCGAGAGCTACGCGCTGAGGGGCTGCCGCGAGCTCCCGGACTAGCGGAGCTGGAAGAGGGGAAGTTTGGGAATGCTAGTGGAGACCCGGCTGGTGTTAAAACCTTTTCGTTATAGGAAGAGGACAACTGTAAGAGGGCCAGGGTTGGGAGAAACAGAGAGAGATATGGGGTTGACTACAAGTGGTGGGAGAAGCTGTGGTGGGTGCGGGATGGCAGCAAGCACCCTCGGGAAAGACGAGGGTGGATGAGGAGGGAAGGAATGAGCACTCCCTTGGAACTGAGAGGCCGCTTGGCTGAGGTGGTTGTCGTTTACAAAGGCAAAATCAGAATATCCAGATTAATATATGAGAACAACTTCAGAAGCCCAGATGCTAATACAGCTCAGGCGAAAACAACAAAGTCTAGTCAGCTTTACTGAATGAAAATAATTTCTGCAGCAGTATAAACAGGAAAAAATATGGGGAAAACAGGTAGAAGGAGACTCTTACTTGTGAAAGAAATGAAAACTGGCCTTCAGTAAAGAAAGCCTGCATGGGGGAAGAAGGCTGTGCACAGTGAAATATCAAGTTTATCAACAATTCCACAGTGAAATATCAACAATTCCATCCTAAAATGGGAATTAGTAACACATTCAGTCTCCTTCTATGCCATAGTGTTTTGGTAATATTTAATAAGATGTATTAAAAATGTTAAAAATGAGAGTCTTGCTTAGGTCACTTCCTTGTAAAAATCAAAGAGCAGACCATTGCTAGCAGAATGAATTTCAAAATAATTTAACTAGGAGATGAAGTGTGGCCTCAACCTGCTTTTATCATACTTCTACTTTGTCCTGGTAGGAACTTTAGCCCAGTCCAAATGGCCAAACTTGCTTCTGCTTTGGCACTTCAGTAACTATGCTCATTCCATTCCTTCCTCCACAGTGTCCTTTACCTAGCCACCACCAACTTCTAGGTAAAATTTTCTCACTGTTAAATTTCCCTTATTGTCCTAGTCTTAGCTCAGATGCTTAAGTTTTTCTGTAAATACCTCCTGAGTTTCCCTAGCCAGAATATATTATGCCAGCACTATATTATTTGTATCTCTATTCAGCCCTTTAGATGGTATGTGCAATGTTTACTGTTTCACCTGGCTGACTCTTTCTTGTACCCCATTCATAACTCCTTCGAGTCATGAGTAGTACTCAGTCCCCTTTGTCAGGGCCATATCTGTGTTTGAAAAAAGTTGAACCTTTAACAGTTGGGCTCACATAGATCCCTGTCTTTTCCACTGAGGTTCTTTGCAAAAGAAGGCTCCTCTGAGCTCAGAGACAGAACTTCCAGTGAAGTTACTGTGTTGTCCCTCTACATGGCTCTTGACAGAGGAGGATGACCCATGGCCTCCATCCTCATTTAGTGGAGAGTAGATTGGGGGATAGATGAGGCTGACTGAAGATATGTCTATATTTTGTGCAGAGCATTGACTAGGAATTAGTGTTAGTACACACGGTTGGTAAATATGCAGAACATTTCTCAGAGCTAAGTGTGTGGGTAGGGCTATTTCATTCTGTAAATTCAAAGCATCTCATGATGTGAGGGCAAGGTGAGTCAGGGGGTATTGTGGCATGAACATGACTATCAGCCAGGCCAACATTTTAACTTCTGTCCTACATTTTTTTCAGATTTTTAAATATCAATATGATCATTTTCACTTCATAGATTAATGAACTCAGATACAGATGTTGCCTCCTTTCACTTCTGCCCCATACGTCGGTACTGAAGCTCCAGGGAAGCAGCTAGCCTCTCAGCATTCTCAGATGAGCTTTCAGGATAATTCATTTTGAACAGGCATCTTCTCACAGTGGAGAAATGTGAGTGCATTAAAATAAAACAGGGGCTACAACTGAACAATTCAAATCATTGGCAGAAAGGGTAGTAGGTAAATGGCACCATTAAAAATGAAGATAATCTTGTTTCCTGTGAACTAAAAATGGATAGCTCCAATTACTGTTCCTTCCACACATGAAGATGGTACAAAGTTAGTTAATTATAAATAATGCATCCAACCATAGAAGGGATAAGCTATATGCTATGTTATTGTACATTCAAAATCTTTATGAGTGTGGCAAGAGACACATGTACCAACAGCTGCTAAATTCAGAATCCTGGAGCAGTATCTTATTTTAATGTGAGTGAAGAACAGTTCAGTCTATTGCTCTGGGGATTTCCCTCTATATAAAAGGATCTTAAATCTACATGAGATTTTACTCAGTGATATCAAAGCACTTATGAATATGTGTTTTCTTTATTTGCATATCTTTCAACCTGCCCCGACCACCCAACTTATAACAGAAACAATGCTATTATAGAACAGATTCTTCAGAGCAGAAGCCTTTCTCTCTCCTCCTCTTTCTTTCCACTGTTCCTTCCTTTTCTTTCTTTTTTTTTTCTCTTTTTGAAAAAATATTCATAATCTATCCCAGAGCCTGGCATTTTTGTGTTGAATATATGTTGAATGCTTAACATGAATGATCACCCCCATTTTATGGCAGAAGAGAAAAAGGCATAAAGGTCTAAAGTGGGTTATCAAATTCTGAACAGAGTTACACACTTTTCCTCTCAACTGTGCTTTGAATCTCATTACCACACAACCCATAATTGAAACTATGTTTTGAGGTGACTTAATTAAATTGACAGCTGAGATTGGAAAGTCAGACAATATTGTAAAGAAGATTCTGCACCAATTTTATGTCTTAGGATAGGCAAATTCAAGTTCTGAGCCTTAGAACATAAGGAACAATAAAGTGCAAGCAATAAAATGAACCTAGATACTATATAAAGTCCCTAGTCTAAAATCTTATTTGTCTTATCTATTATACTAGTGAACTCTTATCTATTATGCTAGTGGGCTTTTAATAAATGGGGCCAAGATATCCAAGAACTGTACATTCAGCAACTAACCAAGTACAGATCTCCAATACATGGGCTTTCACACAGCACAGGCATTTGAATCTAGGAATGGCATTGTTATTCTTCTCATAACATAGGCCTTCTTTGATATGGCTTTGGCTGTGAGAGCTCAGATGCAGATTTCTTGAACCACTTACTAGGGCCAGATGTATACGATATTGATCCACTAGCAATATCAGAACTAGTATCTGCCCCCAGCTGTGAGTTTAGAAACAGACATCAAACATAAGCTGCAAATTTTATCGCACAGTTGGCCAGCAGTAATAGGCCACACCAATAATAAAGACCAAACCACAGACTTAAAGCAGGCAGTGCAATCTGGAAACACTCTTTTTTGCAATTGTTTTGAATACAAAACATCTCAAATGACAGGGATTTTGCCTGCAGAGTTGCTAATGAAGATGTGGCTGAGAGTGCTCCTTCAGTTTGTTTATCCAGCTGTACAACAGTCAGTATGACAGTAACTAGATTTATAAAAATTTGAAAATACCAAAGCCAAACTCTGAGGAAAGGAGTTTCCCCATAAGTCTACTAAAGCCTTGTATTCATAAATGAGAAGCTTTATTGCTACTATATCTGCTTACATATAGTTTTGCTTTTGCTATGAAAGAAAATTTTAAACAACGTGCAACTTGCAAAGGGATCACAGGATGGTTTCTCCAGGGTTCTTCCTCCTTCCCTTTCCTCTGTTCTCCTCTACTTACACCAGTGGTTCTCAACTGGGGCAATTTTGCCTCTCAGCAGACATTTGGCAATGTCTAGAGAAATTTTGATGATCACAATTGACCTATGGTTTGGGGGTGGGGGGATGCCAGAATTGCTGGAATCTAGTGAGTAGAGGCCAGGGATGCTGCTAAAAATACTACAGTGCAAAAGAAAACCTTCTCTCTTCCCCTACAAAACAAGAATTATCCATCCCAGAATGTCAGTAGTGCTGAGGTTGAGAAACTCTGGCCTAGCCCACTGACTCTAACAATTGATTATGTGTGAATTGTTGGCAGTTCAAATCAAGTCTTGTATTATCTCTCAGGCTTCCTAATCACCATTTGTCCCAGAGCCAGATGGTATGATATAGAACAGGTACCAGGGACTGATTTCATGGAAGACAGTTTTTCCATGGATGGGGCTTGGGGGAGGCAGAGCTTATGCAGTGATGCCAGTGGTGGGGAGTGGCTACAAAATATAGAAGAAGCTTCAAAGCTTAGTCGTTAGGCTACCACTCACCTCCTGCTATGTGGCCTGGTTCCTAAGTTTCATGGAAAACAATATTTCCACAGACAGGGAGTGGGGTGGGGAGACTTGTGGGGGGGAGGGGGGTGCAGGGGGCTCAGGTAGTAATGCCCTGCCTGGTTCCTAACACCTAACAGGCTGTGGACCAGTACCAGGCCATGGCCAAGGGGTTGAGGAGCACATTTAGAATGTATGTGTCCCTTCAAAATTCATATGTTGGGACCTAATACCAATGTGGTGGTATTAGGAGGTTGGGTCCTTTGGGGAGTGATTACTTACCTTATAGGTACTCTGCTCTCATGAATGGAATTAGTGCCCTTATAAAAGAGGTTGAAGGGAGTGCTCTAGTCCCTTTTTGCTCCTCTGTATTGGTCTGTTTTGTGCTGTTGTAACAAAATACCTAACTGGGTAATTTAAAAAGAACAGAAATTTTATTCCTTACAGTTCTGGAGGTTGGGAAGTCTAAGATCAAGGTGCTGATAGGTTAGGGCCAGGTCTCTCTGCTTCAAGGATTATGCCTGAACATTGCATCCTCCAGTGGTGAGGAATGTCGTCATATAACTGAAAAGCAAGAGAGAGGGAAAATCCATTTCTATAAGCTCTTTTTATCGCAGTGTTAATCCATTCCTCATGATCTGAATACCTCTCCCAGTAGGTCCTACCTTCCAACACTGTTGTATTGAGGATTGAGTTTCAACACATGATTTGTAGGGAACACATTCAGACTATAGCAATTTCCATCTCTTTGTCCATGTGAGAACACAATATTCATTACTTTTTTGCCCCGTCTACCATGTGAGGATGCAGCAAGATGCACTGTCTTAGAAGCAGAGAGTAAGCCCTCACCAGACATAGACTCTGCTAGCACCTTGGACTTCCCTGCATCCAAAATTGTGATAAATAAATTTCTACTATGTATAAATTACTCAGTCTGTGGTATTTTGATAGGACAGTGGGGACACCAGCTCTTACCTATTAATAAATTATTCACAGATGGCTTTCTGTTTACCAGGTGATGAGTCCACCTCTCTTCACTTGACTTAGGACACTCCTAAATCCAGCTGCCTCACCTCTTATAAAATCTTGTGCTCTGCCTACAAGGCATAACTGGCAGTAAGCCAATTACTGCCAAGTAATAATTGGAATAATGTGACTTTGATGGTTATCAGAAATGCCCTTCTGATGTTAATAAAAGCATATCCTCTTACCCCCATCCCTCTTACACATACCACCTTACCCACCTGTATTATCTGATATCTTTCCTGTAGGACAAATTAAATTTCAAATTAAAATTCTTAAGACTACCAGCACAGAAAGTTGGTGGTATTATTAAAGACATCAATTTCTTAAATCTATCCTAGCCCTATGGATTAAGAATCTCAATGTGTGACCTAGTAATCTACACCTTCAAATGTTCCTCAAGCACATAACAAACTTTGAGTGTCACTGTTCCAAGATAATTCTTATTCTTTTCTCCTACTCCACATGCCTGTGTGATATGTATCTGATGGTTTGTTTGGCTATGTAACAGAAACAACCTCAGGCTTCCAGAGTCACAGGGACACTAACTAGTGTTGCAGAATAACTCAAGGACATATAAAAGCCTATTTTGCTGCTAGTTTAATTATTTTACATGTAAATTGTTTATTCACATATGAGGGAGTGAGATGGTAGATACAGTTAAGCAATAAAGGTAAATAGAATTTATAAGACATAAAAGATGAAAAAAAATGAACACAACCTAGGAACAATGAAACTTTCATTGTACATGTTTTTGGGCAAATTGATTAACTGACAGCAGAAAAGGTTCTTGCCCCTAAAGCAGTGAGAGTTTAACAGGGGAGCAGATGTGACTGGCTCTCTTTGTATAATGTCAGCCAGCATCCCTCCATCAGCACCTCTACCCTGGTCAGGTCCATTCCATACCATATTCTTTTGGAGACTTCCTTGCTGGAAAGCTGCTAAAAAGTAACGTTCCTTTCTCCATTCATCCAAGGCCCGGAGACTTCTTCTTTTGCTTCTAAGCCTTCTAAGCCTTGCTTCCTTCTTCTCTTTTTCTAAAGGTCAGCTTTACTTGCTCCTTCATGGGGATACAACTCAATGTGGCTCTTCTTCAGCACAAGTTTATATTGCCTTGATTCTGCCATCAGGCAAAAAATTAAATTGTCTTTGGTGAAGTCCAAATCCAAATTCTCAGAAGATATGATTGCACAGCAGGGTCAGGGGTCCATCATGACTCAGACAATGATAGAAAGCAGTTCAGGGTTACATAGTATGAACATTACTAAGAGGGCTGATACTTGTGGGTTTGGGTATCCGTTATCTTAGGGGAACAGAGATGGCTCATACCCCAAAAGTATGTATTATAAATGACACACACCAGAAGGCCATACTCTGGCATATTGGAAGTAGTAGATTTGGTGGTGGGTAGTAGAGGTGGTGGAGGTTGAGATGGGTTGAAGTAGTGGAAGGTAAGGTAGAAGGATAGGGTCAAAAATGCCCACAAGTAATATAAACAATCTGACTCCTCTTTCTTACCCTCTGAAAATTATTTTTGATAGGATATTTCAAATTTACCTAATTATAAAAATCAATCAGAATTTGCTTATTAAAAGTATAAAATATTAATATGAGATCTGAGGCCCACCTGAAGATAGGATGAGGAAGGAAATACAAAAAAAAAAAATCTATATTTTTTAACGTTGGTCCTGCTTCTGTATTTCATTTTTTTATTTCAGAATATTATGGGGGTACAAATGTTTTGGTTACATGTATTACTTTTGTACTCCTTGAGACAAAGTTATAAGTGTGCCTATCACCCAGATAGTGTACATTGTGCCCGTTAGGTATGTTTCACCCATCCCCTCCTCCTCCCTTCCACCTGTATGGACATTTTAACAATGTTGATTCTGCTGGTCAAAATCCATATTTTTAAATGCCATTATGATCCTGTAAAATTGTCAAATTGCCCTTAGAGAGAGAACCTTTTAAAATGCTGTGGGCTACTAACATCTCTCCATCTGTTATCCCCAACCACCCCAATCCCTGGTAATCACCATTCTACTCTCTAGTTCCAAGAGATCAAATTTTTAAAATTCCACATGAGTGACATCATGCAGTATTTGTCTTTCTGTGCTTGGCTTGTTTCACTTAGCAAAATGTCCTCCAGGTTCATTCATGTTGTCACAAATGGCACAATTTCCTTCTGTTTTATGACTGAATAGTATTCCATTGCATATATATCATATTTTCTTTATCCATTTATCCATTGATAGATACTTAGGTTGATTCCATGTCTTGGTTATTATGAATAATGCTATGATGAAAAGGGAAGTGCAGATTTCTCTTTGACATACTGATTTCACCACAAAAATGGTAATTATGCAAGGTAATGCATGTGTTAATTATCTAGATATAGTTAATCCATAATGTATATATTTCAAAACATAATATTGTACATAATAAACACATGCAATTTTATCAGTCACTTAAAAAATAATAAAAATATTTCCAGCTACTTACAATAGAACATAAATTAATTTTATATCCAGAAAGCAGATAGGGAGAGATGGGAAAAAGAACGTATACTTGAGTGAAGCAGCTATAGAGTTATGCTGTCCAAGATAGTATAGCCACTAGCTACATGTAGCTAATGGAATTAAAATTAAATAAAATTAAAACTTCACCTTCTTAGTTATACTATCCACATTTTCAATGTTCAGTAGTCACTTGTGGTTAGTGGTTATAGTATCGAATAACGCAACTATAGAGCACTTCCTTGGTTATAGGTAGTCATACTGGATAATGTTTCTATAGAGAAAAGAGCCAAGCAGAGAATGATGCTATCACATTTATTCTGGGGGTCCTTAGTTATAGATCTACACAGATTTGGTAAGTATTATCATATTGTTGATGATGTTGATGACTAATCCTAATGATAATAGCTGAACTGGAGCATGTGTTATGTGCAAAAGACTCTTCTGAGCATAATCCTCCAAATAAGGTAAATGCTAAGAACAGTACCACACTGTTCCACTAGATGATATATATGGATAAAGTCACCCAGTTGATTGTTAATTATGTGAGTTCAGGGCCCCACGCATCCAGATAGCCTGATTTTGCAAGGAAAGCTAGAAATTTGGACTTTTATGGGAAATTATCTGACTTTCAAAAATAGCTTAAAATTTTTAAAAACTCTGTGAAGGCCAAATATAATACATCTGTGAAGATGGATTGAGATCATAAACTTAATGGTTTTGATTTTTAATTGAGAAGCTGTATGCACAAAAATAAATTTCCAGATTTTGCTTGTGTTAACACCCCAGGAATATAACTTCCCATTTTAATACTAGAGAGAAAAGTATCATCATTTCTTTTAAGTTATCTACTACTAGAACTCCTCTCAGTCTGGAATAGTCAAAGTCTGATGATGTAGTCAAATAATCATATTTTTATCTGGAGAAGTATATTAAATTTTATTTCCTTAATTTATTCAATAAATATTCACTGAGTGCTCAATAATGCACCATGCCAGACACTGAGAAACCTCAAGGGAAAAAAAAAAAAAAAGTCCTAGCCAAATAGAGCTTATAATCTTGTGGATAGAAAAGGCATGAAAGGCATGAATTATTACTTCATTTCTTCCTGTATTTTAATCATTACTTCATCTGATTTAAATGCCTTTGAGGGTTCATCTATATCTTGATTCCATTATTTTCAAAAGCACATTTAAATTGATGAGGACAGAAGATTAGTAGTGACTCAGAAGCTTGGAAAATAGATAGAAATCTAAATGTTGTAAGACATCTCGAGGATGTTTGCATTTTTTCAGAGCTGCACCCCTTGTAATACCTGGAGTCTAGCCAGGCACAAAGCAAGCTGACTTACTCCCGCAGAAAGGAATCCTGCAACCTCTCTGGCTGACATGCCTCCAGAGTTTCCAGCACAGCTAGCCAGAGTCTTCCTATAGACAATGAGAAAATTAAAAAAAACAACGAATATGGTAGTTCAGCTATTTATTTATCAATTTTGGGGGATGAGACTGAGCCAGTTTTCTGCAGCTGGCTGCAAAGCAAGCCACAGAGAAGGCACATTATGGGAGAACAGGGCATGATGTTGGCATACGCCTTATCATGGGCTAGAGCTTTTTATTACGGGATTCAGTCAAACCCAAAATGCAAGATGAAAATTATCTCTCTTGTTGGTAACAATTTTAAATATAATAAGTAGAAAAGAGATGGACAGAACCATGTTTGCCAAAAGTCCTGATGATAAGAGTGACCAAAGGCTCTTAATAATTCCTTGAGCAGGAAATGCAGACAGCTTGTACTGGGATTGAATCTAGAATTTGATGTTCTTAGCAGGTGTGTCAAGTGGTTATTATCACCTAAGAAGTTTAGGCAATACTAAAGTAGAAGAATAAAAAATGACTCTTTCTCTATAATGGTATTACTCCCTGTTACCTATTATGTGTCATACTGGGCTTACTTCTATGTCAACTCTTAACAGGTGTATGGTTACATGATGGATTTTGGAGTGACATGGTCCTGAGTTTGAATTCAAACCCTGACACCATATTGTAAGTTACTGTGAGGCATTGAGCCAGTTCCTTAACTTTTCTTATTATCAGTGTTGTCATCTGTAAAATAAGGGTACAATATTGCTCACTGCATAGGGCAGTTGAGAAGTTCAAATGAGAAGTGGCAGGTAAATTTCTCAGTACAGAGCTTTGGGGATTATTCAAGGAGAGCTCCTTGTAGTTGAAAAGCAATTTTACATTCTTTGTTTCATTTAATCATTTTAATAATGATATATGATTAACTCAATTTTATATACTGAAAAAATGAGGAAGAGAAATTTAGGATAGGAAATATCATATGTTAGGATAGTGTGACAAAAATAGGACACTGGTGTCTACCGACTTGCTTTCTGAATTGGTCTAATTTTAAAGACTGTGAATATTTAAAGGAAACATTTAATGCAGTTCGCTCATTTTACTGGTGAGGAATCTGAGCTCCAGTGAAGCAAACTGATTTGTTTAATGTGTGAGAGAGACAGAAGGACTACTGGACTAGAACACAGGCTTCTTTACTGCCCATCTGCAGCCTTGCTCTTGCATTGTTGATCATGCTATTTATCTGTAAGCATAGCCAATGGTGAATATCTTAGATGTGGTTCTTCTGATATTAAAACAATTAACTCATAATATAAATGTATATATGCAGCTTGAATTAGAGCATTTTTCAAATCACATTCTAGGTCCCATTTGTACCAAAAATATTTCAGGGGCATTTTAAAAACTTAGGTATCTGTGTCCATTTGAAATCCTTTTTTAATCAGACTGTTGATCAGGGCATGAAAATTTACATTTTTATCAAGTTTGCCAATAAAATTTTGAAAAAGAGCTAATTAAACCTTTCTATCCTTAAGGCCAAAAATTATGCATTGTCCTTCTTTTGTCTTCCCACCAGTTCCAGCCAGAATTTTAGGCATATACTTTCTATTTAGTTAACTCATAGAATTGAATTCTGGTGGAATCAAATTAAGGTCAGATGTTTTGATTATATAAAAATCTGTGAAGCACATCTATAGATGACTCATTTCCAAAGATACAATTTAGATAAGTTTCTTTTAATCACAAGCATAACTCTCTGCCAGATATATTTGTCTGGAAAATGTATGTGTGTGTATATATATAAGACATATGAGATATGATATATACTTTACATATATATCAGATCTATAAGACAGAGAGAGGAAAATTAGCTTTCAAGACAGTTTTAAAGAATGTTAACTTGGACATGAGTTATCTATTGCTACGTCACAAATTATCACAGAATTGGCAGCTGAAAACAAAGATTTATTTTCTCACACAATTTCTGGGAATTGACAATGGGAGCAGCTTACCTGGATGGTTCTGGTAAGGGTCTCCCAGGAGCTTTAGTAAAGATATTTGTATCTTAACTGTATTACATAGGGTGGGCAGAGTGGTGAGACCAGATGCAGATCAAGAATGAGAAACTAGAAAAAGTTCTACAGTTTTGTTGTACTGGGGAGGACATAGCAGCCACACAACGTTGCTCAAGCAGTCATGAGGGAGAGGGAGAGAGGGCAATGAGGAAAGTGTCTTTGTCGTGGTTTCTGTAGGAAGGTAGGGGGGAGGCAGGGGAAGCAGGCTTATGATCAGCCAACTTGAGTAAGTTCAATGGGCTCTGGTCATAGGGGTAGTCCCTGGTTTTCTGATACTTGACCCCAGGTTGATTAGGGTGGGTGTATAATCGCCCGGAGTATGACAGCTCAAGAAGGTAGTTGGTTGGGATGTGGGCTTAGTTGGCTGCTTGAGAAGGGAAACTGACTGGCTTCTAGCCAGGGTCTCAAAATGGTCAAGACAGCATTTTTTTAAAAACTATATTACAACTTGCCAAGGCTGCAATTTTCTGAGGTCTTAAATCGGGCTGAGAGACCTGCTTTTGAGAAGGCTCACCCAAGGCTGTTGGCATGAAGCCTCAGTTCTTCTTCATGTGGGCCTTGCTCTAGGGTGGCTTGATTGTGTGTACAACATGGAAGCTGAAGTGCCCAGTTCCTTATATTAAAACAGCCATTAAAAACAAAAAACAAAAGACAATATGTGGAATCATGTGTCTCAGCACATCTTCATGTTTATTCATTCATTTATTCAGTAAATATTATTGGAATTTCTATCATATGCTGAGCTCTGTGGTTAGCATATATTATACAATAGGAACAAGAAGAACATGGCCCCAGTTCTCATGGAGTTTATGGTCTAGTGCAAGAAAAACGTTCCACTGACATATTCACACTACTACATATATAATTAAAAACTGAATTACAGTGAAAAAAAAGTTGCCTAGCAATATGAAAGTAGACAGGGAGTATATAGGAACAGTTAGGGAAGGCTTCTTGGTAAAAGTGGCAATTGGTCCTTGAGCTAAAATCTGAACAAGCAGTGAAGGGGTTTTGGGAATCTGACTCTTTATAATCAATTTAACTTTATATCATTTATTCTAAAAATTAAGCAATCTTGACTTACAAAGAGATGATCGATGTTTTACTACTTCTGGAAAATATTTTCATCCTTTTAAATATCTTCAATATGTTTTACTCCCCTATCTCCTTTAATGGCCTTTTCATAAATGTGAATATTTTCCTGGACAAATACTGTGGCTTCTTTCAATATATGTTATCAGAATTTCTATAAAAATAACCATTTCGAGAATCACTGGCTTACAACCACAAAGTTCTTTTTCCCCAGCCCCACTGAGCTTTGAAGAACCTCACTTTTGCTTCCTGAGAGCCACGGGGTATGACCTTCTCTACCAGCCATAAGGAAAACATAGGAGAGAATCTTGGTTATACTTATCATGTTGAAAAAAACCTGTCTTTCAGTGGGTTCAGATGCTTAGATGTGGTGGTCTACGCCTTGGCTTGTGACCACTCACCTTTTCTACAGTGCAACTCCTATTGATAAAGTTTTGTTTTTAAAAACTAAGCCTATGGTGTATTTTCACAGCAAGGGGTTGGGAGAGAGACAAGTTTCATGTGGATAGAGGTACAGATGCCTATAGTGGGAGGGAGGGAGGCACACAGAAAACCAAAAAGAATTATTTATCTGGATAGAAGAAAGCTTATGATAATACGATGTGAAGGAAAACTGGAAATGTTAAACCAAGTAAGATCCAATATATAGGGTTATAATCAATCCCATTTTGCCCAGGGCAGTGCTGGCTTACATTAGCCTTCCTAGCACAATTATTAGGAGCACTCCCTGTCAATGTTGAAAATCTTCTGGTTTGGATGATATAATTTATGATCACCCTATCTATGTTAAAAGATTTTGATCTTTATCTTAATAATAATAGGAAATCATTAGGGTTCTAAATGTAGGGTCGCATGAATATAAGATTTGAGTTTTGTACATATTTCTCTGGCTATAATGAATAGAACATATTAGCAAGTAATGTAGAGGGAACCAGTAAATCTGTTCCTATAGTTCTGGCAAGATATGGTACTTGAACCAGAGTGGTGGCAGCAAAGATGGACAGATGGAGCCTGATTCCAGAAATGGGCTATCAGCTATACACTACACTCCTTCCATGAATCTCTCCTCAACCGACCTTTTTTTCACTCTCCATGTAAAAGCTGTGTTCATTCTTTTCTAAACTAGGACCCCATTTTCACTTCCAGACATCTTTCTTCTTACCCTCAGAAAGGGAAATTGTTCTCTTTTTCCTTGAAAACTTAAAAAAAAAAAAAATAGATAGGGATGCCTTCCTTGTCCAGCTATCAGACTTGCAAATCTCTCTGCAACTACACAAAACTCATGTTCTTCTCTGATTACAGTATGGGAGGCATCACTACCTTCACCTAAGTCAATAATACACCTCTGATTTGGATCCTGAAAATTATCCTCTCTCTTCTGCACAGTACTTGATGCCTTGATTTTCTCACCTTCCAATCACTTTTTAACCTGATACATTCTGGTGTCTTCCGTCACCATTTCCTGAAAGGGCTCTCTCTGAGGACACCAATGAAATCTACATCACTGGATCCAACAGATTTTTTTCTAAGTCTCATCTTGCTTGACCTCTTGGGAGCATGTGATGTTGCCACTCACTCTGTCTTCTTGAAACCATGATTTACACTGGACTCTGAATAAAAACTTTTCTCATTTTTTCCCTCTATGTCATCAGCTCCGATACATATTGGAACCCCAAAGGTCCTGAAACTTTCTGGACCATCTACACTCCTTGCTTTATCCTCCCACCTATAAAATCTTATGTATGTGCACATCTTTGATAGCCATACATAGATTATTAATTTCCCACATTTATATATCCAGATCAAGGTAATCAAATGCTTTCTTAATAGTCCCAATTGAATGTCTAAAAAATCAAACTGAAATTTTACATAGCCTAACTCAAATTTGTGAGTTCCACCTACTCTAAACCTGATCATCTTCCATTCCTTGTATTTTAGGAAGTGTTGCATACACCTAGTCATGTAAGTCAGAATGCCAGTCATCTTTTATGCTTCCATCTCCCCATAGTTTATCTTCTGTCAATTCTATCCCCTAAATATTTTTTAAATGGCATTTGCTTTATTTTCTTATTCTCTGTAGTAGCAGTGAGTTGTGTGGGTATAATCATAGAGAAAGCAGATAATAAAGTCAATCCAAGATTAGGTTTTACTTTGTACACAGTACAGGGAGACTGTGGTATTTCCAGCAGTGCTATTGAAAAGATATGTCATGCATCTAGCTGCATACAGAAGGAACTATGAATATAGCAAACTTTTGTATTAAATTTCTGATGTGGCTGACAAATGGCCTTGGAAAAATAACTGTACAAATAAGCTGAAAGATGAATACGTTTTTTTCAGGAAACAAAAATATTTATCTTTTCTTACCATTTATTTTTCTTGCATTCACATTCTTTTTTTATTTTAGCCAGACCCAGCTCTAAAAGTAGATGAGTGAACCAAAGACATAAATGCCTTGCCACCATGGAGACTTACCTTACAGTGAAAGCAACATATAACAAATATATGTACAAAAAATCTAATGTTATATAGTAGTAATAAGAAGAAGATAATAAAACAGATCAAGTAGCAACAGAAGCACTGAAATGCTAATTTAGAGGCTTCTCCTAGGGAGCAATATTTGAGCAGAGACCAAAAGAAGTGACAGAAAAGGCAAGAAAATTTCAGGCTGATGCGTCAGCTGGTGCAAAGCCCAGAGACA